AGAGAGAGAGAGAGAGAGAGAGAGAGAGAGAGAGAGAGAGAGAGAGATACGCCTCTGTCCTCTTCCAGCACTCCACTGGACTTAGTGCATTTGTACGGACGCGTTCGCCTGTACCTCCTCTCGTGCGCGCGCTGATCGGGATACTAAGCACGGAGCCGCCGGTTCATGACATCCTCAGCTTCATCTCCATCCTTTCTTTCAGTAAGATTTACCCACGGTCGTTGTTAGTTTTTTTTTTTTTTTTAATTGCGGCACAAACACACAGAGCCAAGGAGTCGAGGCGGCCAATCGGTGAAATTATTTAATCGACTGGGAAATATATATTTCCATCCGAGATCCGGAGGACTGTATGAAAAAAAGAGCGCAGAAAAAGGGGGTTTATTCCTGACTCCTCCGTCCGCTGGATGTGTATGTATGCGCCTATACCGCTGCGACTGATGACACGGTAAGGATCCTCTCTCTATTCCTGCACATATTGTGATTTTCTTTTAAATTTATTTGCAGACATCGCTGGTGAACGTCGGCAAACCGCTGCGTGCATCGCATCTGAAAGCTATATATACAGCAGGCTGACTTTTGGTTCTCACGGATGCCCATGGGAATGTGGCCTTGTACTTAAGGGGAGCGGAAAGTGGCCCTTACTGGACGAGGATGGTGGTGGTGGTGTGGGGGGGTGATAATGTAATATAGTTAGCCGTATTCGCACACATGATGCTCCGGCGACTTGTTGGCTAGATGGGGCGTTGCTCGGATGCGAGCATGTCGCTGTGAGGCGAGGTGACGGGCTCATGACACCCATTACCCTCCCGATAATCAACGCGATCATATTAACGGCGGGTTTGTATACGCGATTGTCATTATGTGGCTGCGTGCGTCTGCGTCGCTGGAGGAGGGGGGGGGCGCAAAGTGACAAACCTTTGGCCGCGATGGTTCGGTGGGTTCGGCGGATAGAAAGCCGGTCACCTGCCGAAACGACAGCCGTTTTTTTTTTTGGGAAGGGGGGGGGGGGGGGGTGAGGGTGTATTGGAATGCAGTTAGCTCATTTTGTGCGGGCTGCCGTGCCGAGCCGCAGTCCGGAATCCGGAGAGCCATACTCTGGAAGACAAAAAAAAAAAGGGCCAGTGCACCTCCAGGATACGTTAATCATGCGCATTCACGGGGTAAAAAAAAAATAAGCAACGGCTCTTACAGAGGAGGCGTCCAGGGTTGTGGGTTGTGGTGGGGAGGGGGGGCTGTGTGTGCAGATGACCTTGATGTGTAACTGAGATCTGCTGAAGGTTGCACAGTTCTTCGATCTTGACCTGAACTGAGAGGAGCACCTTGCCTCAGATCAGTGCCCCCCGCAAAAAAACAAACAAATATCTATGTTATTGTGCCCCCACGCTGATGATAAACGACATGATTTATCCTTTTAAGTGGGTTGCACATAAATGCACATATCTTGGAATCGAAGCAGCTCTCAGTGGCAGTCTGCTGGCTGTGTCTGCTTGGGTGGCTGCCCCCCCCCCCCCCCCCCCCCCACACACACTTTTTTCTCTTGAATCCCTGCCATCCAAAGCAGAGAACATATATTGTGTGTGCAAACTCCAGCGCAACACGGGTGGTTTGTTGGCGCTTTAGATTGGCTGGACAGCACGTCTGCTCATCTGTCAGGGCTGCAGGTGAGAGAAGCGGCTCCCCTGTGCAGGCGATTGGGGGGGGCTTTGACATGGATTTGCTACGCTGCCATTTCGGTGCTGTTCCGTTCAAAGCGCCGACCCGTCTCCAAGGAGATTATCGTGTTAGTGGGTGAGATGGATATCACTAAATCATCTGCTCAGCAGGCCATCTGCTTGTGTCTTAAGTGATGTTCTTTGTTTTAAACGGTTGAGAAACAAAAAAAAATCTTCTGTTTTGCTTTTTGTTTTTATTCCGTTGTCCGATGTCACACCTGCTCCGGTGGATGTTTAACCGCTGGGGGTGGCCTCTAAAGGGTGTCAGTCTGAAATCACAGCGCGAACGTGTCAAAGAGCACCTCGGGTCATGTTGAGTAAAGACGCACAGGCGCGCAGAACTTTAAAAAATAAAAAAGCACCTGAAGCTGTGCGACGTGCAACGGCAGCAATCAAAGCATTCTGCTGACAGCAGGTCTGTGTGTCCTCACTTTAATCAGGTCACCGATTCATTCCACTTGTGATGATGCACCAGGAAGACGAAAGCCCCTTGTTGGAGATGGAAAGGGGGGGAAGGACGATGGTTATGCTAATTTGGATTGTTTCGCTTCATTGACCGAGCGGGGCTGACTGTCTTTGTTCGGAGCTGTTGATGGAACACAATATTTGGTTTAGGATTTACACGGCTCCCAAGAACAATATCTGACTGACCCTGTAATGGAAGCGGCGTGCGATTTGAATAAGTGGATCAAAGATTAAAAATCCAGACCTCCAGATAATGAAAACACACCTCGGCAAACACACACTTGTTTAAGACAAAGTGTCTCCATTTCCGTCGTCAGGGGTTATCACAGAGTCCAACTTCCACGCTTTGTGCAATTAATTCTGTTTTAGCGGGGTCCACGGAACCTAAGGGCCCGCCTTCGCCCTGAACTGCCACTCTAACAAGCGTCATTTCCTCAAGAATTTGCAGTTCCACTCCTCTGTTTAGTTAATTTATGCGCAGCGAGGTAAAAGGTCTGCGTGTCAGAGAGCCTTGGAGATAAACAGACGGCGGTGTTTATTGTGCTCACGGAGACAACCGAGGCCTTCCTGCATAAATACATTTGTCAATCTCGCGGCTTAAGCTGCAAGGAAAAAGTCTTAAAACGCTGCAATAATAATATAAAGTTCCAGCGAAAGCTGAGCTGCCGAATTTGATGACGGTCCTCGCCTCGACCCCCCCCCCCCCCCCCCCCACGTTGTGTGCCAGGTTTTACCCCCATTAAAAAAAAGGCTTCTCTCTCGCCGGATGGTATCTCTCTCTCACCGTTATCGAAATAGCGAGGCCGGATCCTCGGCCGTCTTGCTCGTCCACCTAAAGCTCTCGGTCATGTGTTAACGCACCCTCGGCTGTTCTGTTCACCTCTCTGTTAAGTTGTGGAGCCTGCCTCCAATATCATGCCATTGCTTTGCTACATGATTAGAATTTAGAAAGGGGGGGGGGGGACCAGCAGCCACAGGACTGGCTGTCAGATCTCTGGCCATTCACCGACTCATTGCTCATATGGCCTCGACTACTACGGCCCTCCAGCGAGACATGTCTTACTCCTGCCTAGATATGGAACGGTTGGAGGCCTTTCTGCTCGAACCATCACGGCCTATTATCTGTCTGGGATTTGGGGCTGATTGGGGGGGTATACTTGCGGCCTGACTGCTCGGGCCGTTTGCAGGCGAAGCACATTGTAGTCCTGCTCGATGATTATTGCATTGTTTGGCAGGAAACTGATGCTAAATCAGCCATGGTTTCCAAATCAATGTTTCCAAAGTGCAGGTCAAAGAAGAAAGATGTTTCAGAGTGTTCACTGTAACCCGCTGGCACGGGATTAAATGATAATAAACGGTTTAGTGGAATGACAGATTCTATTTGAAAGGTTCCATATTGTATAAAGTGAGATTTTCATTTCTTTATTATTAAACAGGTCTGGGTGCTGTATAAATACTACGAAAGTAGCAAAAAGCCCAATCCACACTCAC